CAGCTGCCCAGGTAAACAAATTTGTCTACTACCTCAATCGGTTCATCCGCAAGCATGAGGCTAAGGTTCGAGTTGTGCTAGCCCGTGTTGACTGACTTATCTGGGCAACTGCATAGGTCATGAATGTACCCTGAGAGAAGAAGTCAATGCGCGCATTATCAAAGCATCAGAAACATGTGCGAAGGTGCTCACTAAGGACGCCAGAAGCGTATTTCACTACAGTTAAAGGGTTGTGTGCACAACACAAATGTAACAGTAGTCTGGTTGTGAAATTTGCTCCTTCCCCGTCCAAGGACCTCAAGCGGATTCGTGCGTTTTCATCGTTGTTGACTGGCTGACTGAAGAGTGTTCACTGAGGTGTGGCACAAGCGAGTAATTGGTGAGGAATTAAAATCAATAGATTAGCACGTGACACTGGTCAGGTTAAGGTGACTGGGACTGCACATGCTCAACCGTGGTTTATAAAAGAAAGCGTAGACTTCACAATTGTATTCTTGTTGATGCAAGGCGCGCGGGGAGTGGTCCACAAATTGGCACTGCCAGTTCGGCGCTGTGGGATCCACGGTATCTTTCTTGCACTTGGTTACGAGGCCCACAGGACATGGTTCCACTGATGAGTATGGTGGCAAGCTTGACTGTCTGGCTGCAGTTTTTTCTATGATGGATTCATGTCGAGTGGGGTTGGGAAAAGACCTACGTTCATTCCCACTGCCGGCCTTGTACTTCGACATGATGATCATCTGCGTCTATTTTGTCGCTGTTTCAAGGTGTAGGAACCTGCTTCTTGATTGGTTCGCACATAGATCTAAGACTATTCTTTATTTTTTACTACCCATTGCTTCACACGTTTTGGTGACAGTTAAGAACCAGTATTTGTTGTCGGTACATTGCTGTCGATTGTGATAATGTGCTATCCGGCGAACCTCGTGCATGGTGTCCAGGCTGTTTCCCACGACTGAACGTTTCCGTACTTGCTCTGTTTGGTATGACCGCTGTGGGGAAGAGTTCAGTACTAATGTGATTCCGCATCTGAGGCGCCCTTCGATGGCGAAGGATGTAGGACTCTGATTTATCGTTTCCATCAGTCTAAACATTCAGAAAGTGACAGTCAGCTGAATATTACACCGAAATCCGTTTTGAGTATCGTCTTCAGTCACATCTGGTATCCTAACTGCCACATCGTTTCCTCCATATTTTTGAAAGACAAAACGGGAAACTTGTCCGTGATGGATTGGCGCTACGTCAAACTGCAAATCCACGGTTAATCAACGATCAGTTCATTACAAAAGCAGGAAAAAATACACAAAATTCCGCGGGAACCTCAGAATTCCTTTCAAAATTTTTCATATCACTGGATCCTATTGAGGAGGTACAACATTGCGAATCCCTTCCTACAAGCACACTTTGGTAACAGAAGCCCCATGATCAATCAACTGGAAGACGTCCTACAATAAATCCACCGATTGTTTACCAAATCTCTCCGAGAAGAATTCCAAACAAGCTGTAGTGAAGTGTGATCGTGAGATTCTTCTTTCAGGACCCAACCAGAAAGTGAGTAACCTGCTCAAAATTTGTCAGACATGGTTGATACTACTGGGACGTTCTACCGAGGGCTCTCTATAGCTTCCAAGCAACGTTGACTTATAGTTACAAATCCATTTGATACGTCATCCTACACTATACATGGACAAGACACGTGGTTTCGGGGGTATACGATCGTTTGAAACGTTTTACACGCCTTTCGTTCCTGTGAATTTCAGACTGCGGTCAAAGCGAGATGTTCTGGTAGAGCACCTTACAACACACCAGTTGAGTATCCTACCACGTTCTTGACCGTAGGTGAATGTGTGGAGGATCATAGAGCTCAGTCTCAGAACTGCAGTCTGTTGGGGCGTATGCTGATACGACAAATAAACATAGTCTATCGCATCGACCTGTATTGATGTTAATTGAGCCCGACAACCGCACAGCGCCACTGCGTCAGGATCACAGGATGCCCGAAGAGTGAAATGTGGAACATCTGAGCAGCTGTACATAGCAGGTGTCTTTTGAGCGGCACCGGACTCTTGTTTTAAAAGTAGTCCAACCATATCGGATAATGCAACAGTGGTCACGGTCACCCGTTGGACGTGTGCGATTTTTAGGGCCGATCTTTTCTAACCTGTCCTCCCTCGGGAGAAGGCAGCGTCGCTGCTTCCATAAATATGGAAATGCTGGTCGCCTGGGAGAAACGCCTGCCTTCACAGTCCTATCGCACAAGACAGTACAACTTTACCTCCAGATCGCCTTGTAATACGATTACTCGCAGTACGAAGACTCGCTGTTCTTCGTCGGGCCATTTCCCGACATGACTGAACCTCAGGGAACTGAGTTCCAGTCAGCATAGCCCGCAGAATCATCGTAGCCCAGAAGGCCAACCACCAAGACAAACAAACAACTTTGTGACACGCTTATCACGATATGACCGTAGCTGAATGGGGTTGGACGCAGGACTATACGGCTCACGGCAATCCCGATCGACTAAGACCACTAGACAGTGGTCGTTGTGCGGTGCTCGTGAATCGATCACCAGTAGTCACTGGTGTATTGAAGATGGATCTGCCCTGGTGTGCACCAACTCCATATTACACAAAATGGTGTCAGGTTTCGGGGGTAGAAAGGTCACAGCATGACGACGGTGGTGGCCTAAGTCACCACACGAACTTTCACCGCGCTGAGTTCGAGATAGGTCATCGGTTGAAGCATGAAGTTAGCTAGCAGATATTGCACATCACGAGTAAGATTGTTGAGCGCCATGCACACATTTCAAGAATTTGACCACAATTAATTTCCAAATGAAAATGAACCCCGTCGCCACTCGTTGCCGACGCCACCGTATACCAAACACCGTCCTGATGAACCAATCGACCCGACCGAAACAGGAAAAAGGCATGTGGAAATTTGGATATTGTTGACATCCTCATCAGCCTCATCATCTTGACCAACAGAGAGCGAGCAAACTATGGAAAAAACGAGAGCATATGGATGTTTAGAGTAAGCAATAGAAAAATGCTAATAGCAATGGTGATTTGGACCACGCTGTGTTGTTGTTGTTGTCATCGGTGTACCCAAAACAGCGGTCGGTATAAGAGAGAGGGAGAGAAAACCGCATGATTCGGCAAAGAGAATTGATAAAAAAGACAATAAAATGTGATCAATTCGTAAAGAGAGATAGGGAGAGAGAGAGGAGTGTAAACAAAAGGACAAGTGATCCAAAGCAATAGAATAGCCACAGTGTGTGTGTGTGTTTGGGGGGGGGGGGGGGAGACGGGTGAAAAATAATGTGTGGAGAAATGAACCGTATCAAAACCCGATGTGACTGGCGTCAATGGGTGGATGGGAGAAGGGTCATCCTTTCTGACCATATAAATGTATGTATATATATATATTTAGATGGGTAGTCCTTTGCGTGACCTAGAACAGAGGTTGACCGACCCAGTGAGGATTCTGTGGAACTGCAAGCGGTGCACAGAAAGCGGAGAAAATATGCGCGACATGGGGGAGATATTGAGACCTAGATGGAGACAATCGATGATGAGGTTGGCAATAGAAGCGATGGCGGCGGCAGCAAAGACGGATAGGTAACAAAAGCAGAAATGCAACAGCGATTAACCTGTCCACACACTCTCTCGAATAACAAAAAATGTCAAGTTATGATATTCTATACAGTTCGAGGAACAGGGCACTGACAGCGAAAATGTGCAAGCATGCACCTGTGTGTGTGGGAGGGGGGGCGGGAACTGATAATTCAAAAGGAATGGAAATTAGAGACAGTGGATCGGATTACGGAGCGAGTTGCGTACCACCTCGAACGACGATGGAAAGCAAAGGGAGACATGTGCCAAAAGAAGGAACAAGTGCGTCCGATCGGTTGTGTGGGTGAGTGGGCGCTTTGAATGGAAAGGAGCGGAACGGTGAATAGATGCGCGACGGACGGTAATGGGGCCGCAGTAATGCCTATTCACAAATGACAAAGAAAAACAGCTACAGACCCGGGTATGGAACAACACCGTCGGCTACTTCTGCTCTCGAGCCAGTTGGATTAGCGGGACCAGAGAGGAGAGAGGCTCGGCACAGTGAGCGATGAAGGGATGCTGAAACGGAAACAGTCACCAAATCAGACACGAGATGAAATCAAAGTTGGAATTATCACTATGTTGACCTGCTCAAGAGTTCAAATGAAAGTGGATGGATATAATTGCTCAAATATTATCGTACACTTAAACTTGAAAGAAGGGCCACTTGATCAGATGGCCGGTTGCCGGGAGATTGCGACTTGATTACAACGTATGACAGGCACAATTGCACGTGGTTAAGTATCACCGGAAGACCATGCAATCCGACATAAATCCGAGGGGCGGGGAGATAAACGAGTGGAAAGCACTCCCACCACGCAGAGATCTACCAACGACCGCGAAGAACTTGTAAACCGAACTATACACTGCGTACACCGTTACACATGAATACACCACTTGGTATTTTGGAAGTCAAAGTCCAAAGCGATTATTGGTTCAAGCAACGACAAGAAAGTTATCCGACGTCATTGCTGAACACGTTCTAAGACATTCTGCTAGGCCACGACAAAGAATCCAGAGTGACTACCACCTTGTTCCTCCATTCATTCTTCGTGGCAGTTTCGTGCAGTAGCTTCGCATGGGATTTTCAGTCTCGCTTTCTTCACCATATTGTTGTCAAAATGCTTTAGATTTGCCACGAGTAAGTCACGCGACGTGGTTTTCACGCTGTTTCCAGCGAGAAAGGAGCTCTGTAACTTCAGGACGGTTCCTGTTCTAGTCACGGACTCGCACTCGTTGAAAGGGGGGGCGGGAACTGATAATTCAAAAGGAATGGAAATTAGAGACAGTGGATCGGATTACGGAGCGAGTTGCGTACCACCTCGAACGACGATGGAAAGCAAAGGGAGACATGTGCCAAAAGAAGGAACAAGTGCGTCCGATCGGTTGTGTGGGTGAGTGGGCGCTTTGAATGGAAAGGAGCGGAACGGTGAATAGATGCGCGACGGACGGTAATGGGGCCGCAGTAATGCCTATTCACAAATGACAAAGAAAAACAGCTACAGACCCGGGTATGGAACAACACCGTCGGCTACTTCTGCTCTCGAGCCAGTTGGATTAGCGGGACCAGAGAGGAGAGAGGCTCGGCACAGTGAGCGATGAAGGGATGCTGAAACGGAAACAGTCACCAAATCAGACACGAGATGAAATCAAAGTTGGAATTATCACTATGTTGACCTGCTCAAGAGTTCAAATGAAAGTGGATGGATATAATTGCTCAAATATTATCGTACACTTAAACTTGAAAGAAGGGCCACTTGATCAGATGGCCGGTTGCCGGGAGATTGCGACTTGATTACAACGTATGACAGGCACAATTGCACGTGGTTAAGTATCACCGGAAGACCATGCAATCCGACATAAATCCGAGGGGCGGGGAGATAAACGAGTGGAAAGCACTCCCACCACGCAGAGATCTACCAACGACCGCGAAGAACTTGTAAACCGAACTATACACTGCGTACACCGTTACACATGAATACACCACTTGGTATTTTGGAAGTCAAAGTCCAAAGCGATTATTGGTTCAAGCAACGACAAGAAAGTTATCCGACGTCATTGCTGAACACGTTCTAAGACATTCTGCTAGGCCACGACAAAGAATCCAGAGTGACTACCACCTTGTTCCTCCATTCATTCTTCGTGGCAGTTTCGTGCAGTAGCTTCGCATGGGATTTTCAGTCTCGCTTTCTTCACCATATTGTTGTCAAAATGCTTTAGATTTGCCACGAGTAAGTCACGCGACGTGGTTTTCACGCTGTTTCCAGCGAGAAAGGAGCTCTGTAACTTCAGGACGGTTCCTGTTCTAGTCACGGACTCGCACTTGCCGACTCGCATTCGTTGAAATTCGCAGGTACTTTATTACAGATGTTGAGATGTGATATTTGTGGACGAGGTTTCGGAAGGAGATCCATAGCGCAAGCATCGCTGCTAGGGATAAGACACGCAACGAATCATGCGGTCTGTGCGACCAGGGGTACCCGACTCCGGTCACAGACATCAGGGACGTGATGACCGTTTGCGCAAACTCATGGGCGCCAGACTGGCGCGGGTATGCAGCATTACGACGAGTACGACTGCATTCTAATCAAGCAGTGTGGTATACACCATGTGCAATCCCATACTACCTAGCATCCAATTAGTGTCAAAACTCGAAGGCTGCGGGGACGGCGAACTCACCAATAAGACTACGGATAGAGAACTAAAGGACTGCCGAGTAAGTCAAAGAGTTCACACCGTTGCCGTCACAAGCACACCTGATCACACCAGGTGATGAGTCACAACTGGTTATGGTGGAGACGAGTCGAGAAAACAAGCATGTTTGCCTAAATATTGTTAAACACCCGCTTCTTAATAGGCACATCCTCAACTCGTTTGGTCATGCATCTGTCGCCGAGTTTGGCGCAAGCGATATGACGACGATAGTGGAATGCATCATACGTCCAAAGGAACGATGAGAGATAAGCATGAGAAGGAGATTGTACATGGACCACACAAGAATGTGTTTTCAATGTGTAACTGCCACGAAATGCGTAAGACGTATAAGACTGCGATATCGTAGGAGTATCCAGGTGAGCGCAAAGTAGTTGGAGTAGAAAAGCTACTCTTTCGGTTCTGAGCTCATCAAGTCAAAAGACTTTCACTGTTTGACCATCGATGTCTTCGGAGCATTGCCCGAATCTGGTGGGAACACCGGATCAGCAATGCTGAAGTACGTCAAATGGTATTCGGGAGAAATAACTCACCCTCGATAGATGAACTGATCACGCTGCATAGGTTGCGCTGGCTTGGCCACGTGTTGCGTATCCCAGTCGACCGACTTCCTCGAAGGGCTCTTTTCGCACAACCACGTGAAGGGTGGAAGAGAGTCAGAGGCGGGCAAACAATGACTTGGCAGCGAAGTATGAAAGCCATTACCAGCAAACTCAGCTGCGCTGGTCACTGCCTTCTTCCTGGATGAGGATTCCGAGACTGGCCATATCAGTGGTTAGAGACATTGTCAGACATAGCCCAGTCGCGCCCTCAATGGCGCTCGTGCATCCAAGCTATTGCCTTCAATGCATGGCTCCCTCCTCAATCCCCCAATTAACAGTCCACCTACAGTGCTGGATTTATGCACCAATTTATCATATCTCGCCTCCAATGCGCAGCTACCTACCCCTCCCCCCAAATCATTGGTGAACGAAACTGTGGCAGCTACAACCAGTGTACGACAAGTACGCGGTTATTATAGATGACAGCGATGATGATGATGACCATCAAGTATAGATCGTCACGCCCATATAGTTTCCATAGGATTTTGGCTCTAAAAGCAAGTGTGAGACACCAACATGGTCCTGTTATTGACTCATTCACCCGGATTGTTGGTCTAATGGCTGACCAGTGCGCATACATACAGGTAATCTGATGCGCGAGGGACAGGCACAACTATGACAGGCTTTCGGTGCAACAGGAGGGTCGAACGAGGGTTGAGCTACTGCCAGGTTGCCCAATCCTAGACAGAAAAGCCAGGGTTTTGTTTCGAATCACGGACTTTCCGACCAGTAGTTTCGCGCCTTAATCGTTAAGCTATCTTGAGTCCAACCTGTAGTGACTATAAACGAATCGGAGTAAGGCCGACCACACATAGAGTTACTGGGATAGTGGCTGGCCCCCGAAGAGGCAGTTGGACCAGAATACATCAAGGTCATTCATGCTAAAGTTGGTTCTTACAAGGAATAGTTTTACAAACCCCAGTCAGTCACAGGTGGTCCCGCTCTATCTGAGTGATTAGGGAGTAAGGCATCAGAAGCATCTCCTGACGTTCGATACTCTAAAGCTCAACTCAACTCGAAAAAGAGACTAAGCAACCATGTTCGTTCCCACGCATAACCGCCGTTCGATGTGCAGTCGGTCAATCAATAAACCGAGTGATGTTGCAAAATCCTGCCTATTCTTTCAGTGTCCCTTCGGTCAACTGTGGAGACTGCTTCAAGAACAAGACTCACAGCGTCTGCCATAAAACTCATGTACCATGCAGAAATTCGGTGTTCAATTGTGACGGTACTGTTGCACAGGAACGCTTTTTACATTCACTTGTAACTGAGTTTATCAATAGTCTAGGTGGTCTTGATCACGTATTGTATTCAAAAATGCTCTATCGAACAAGGTGTTCTTGGGTTAGAAGTGAAGGGTAACAGCTAGTTGCAGGTAAATAGCATGCTTCTCTGTTTTCCAGTCCCATAGCCCTGTAGTCGTGAGTATTGTCCTGTCGGGTAAAATCGGTGGCGTATGTTGTCTCAGGCTGACTTATCATGGTTGTCCAACAACATTCGGGTACGATTCTCACAGGCGTGAGGTACGGTGTGTGATCGTTTCTAGAGAAACGACTGCATCTTGCAGAAATAAGACCAATCCCTGAAATAGCGCTCCCAATACGCTTCTAGCCAGGTAATGCAGCTCCTCGTCACACTTCTACGAATTTCAACTCACTGAAGAAGCCAGCACCTGAATTACTGTGCAATCTCAGACGCTGAGACGATCTGCACCGCTGATATGCTTCCGCGTGACAAGCCATCACGGAGGGCAAGTTTGAAAAAAAAATCGTTCATCTGTAGCGCCCTTTCGGTGCCTAGCTGCCACATTACACGAAGGAGGCACGAGGGCAGGTCGCCCAAATTTAGACAGGGGGAGTCAATTGGTGGAGGTCGGGTTCGAACCACGGGCCTTCCGGCCAGTAAATTCGCACCCTAACCACTTGGTAAGTTGATGTGAGTAGTATAGTTGATGAGAAGCTATTCACAGCTACGAAATGAGCGGATTACGCTAACCGACAAGTCACATGACCACGTCGATCGAATTCTACGATTGTCCAGCAGGCGCTGGAAGAGTAAACATACGCGTTAAGCTAGACCCTGAAAGTGATTTTTCAGAAACAGGTGAACTGGCAACATAATCTGGGAAAACACTTATCAACGCAAATGAACTATTACGGTAAACCGTTGATTCATACCAGAGTTCAGCCTATCTACCATCTTGTGCATTAGGAACCAGAAAAGCTTGGCAACGTACCTTCAAAAGTTCACTGGCGGTTGCACGCTGATCCACATCCACCTCAAGACAACGGTCCAAAAAGTCCAGAAACACCGGTGATAGACGGTCTCGCTCTTTGATCTCAGGCTTTCCGTTGGTGGCAATCAAATAGAGGGCCTAAAATAATACAGTGCGGAAGGAGGGGTAGCGGTGAGAATAACCAGGGCTTTTGCTCACTGAACACGTTGAATGTGGAATCGAATGTGATATGACCAAGTTGTGACTGCTTGGGTGAGGCATGTCCATCCACGAATGCAAAATTGCATCAGAATTCGAACTTTGGATGAGAGTGAGTTATCTGTGAGCCGAGTCCATGTGTAATGCAGCTTTCGTACAAAATTACTGCACGATCAACCTAAAGCAATCAAACACCGTTTACCTACAACTGCATCACAATATGGAACATTAGTAGCATTGTTATTAATATGCTTGATGTCACGTGATTCGTTATGATGTGTTGAACTACGTACTGAAGGCGATGCAAGTCCAGACTACGCTCCGTCGTCATGCTGCCCACCGAGGGAGCCTCACTGAGATAACCATCTGGGAGCTGTCAGGTCATAAACTGTTCTTCACCTTTTGGTCGTTTCCGTTCAGCACATGCTTAGGTGAAAAGTGACTTGTGGAGTATTGCTAATCTGATGTTTCCACCAGACCTGAACAATGTTTTACAGGCCCCGAAAGCCTTTCGCACGTAGAAAGCAAGTCCCATTGGCAAGCTAGTGTGGATCGCACTGTGCCATGGGACCATCGGACAGGCACTGCTGAAGTTAGATGAATTTTTTTTGTGGCAACAAATGAACCGCATCGTTTCAGAGGTTTTGTAAACAATCGGTGGATTTATTGCTGGGCAACGTTTCGTTTTTGACACAAAAGCTT